CCCGGTGTTGCAGTGGAAGCACCCAGCGCGCGATGAAGGCGGCGACAAGTTCCGTTCCCTTGAGCCCCCCTGCACCGGCATCTCCCCAATCCGGCTGCACAGATTTTGCATCCCCATGCGACGGGTTCTTGGGCATGTAGCCCCAGTTCATCTTGGCGAGCAGCTTCTCATTGATGAACGGGGCAAGTTGATGGTGTCGGCTCCTCCGCCGACGTTTCGCACGTAGAAGAAGGTATTCTACCACTTTTTGGCAGAATCCTAGATAGGCGTCTTGGGGAACACCCCGAGCGGCAGGATCAAAACGACGGCGGCCCCACAGTCGGACATGGCCCCGGCCTCCGGTCCCTGCTGCTTAAGGAAGAAGAGGCGGCTCCAAAGCTCCACATCTGTTTCCACCCCCAAGTAATCCTCGTAGAGGGTGACGAAACCAGAGAGCTGCAGCACGGCGTTCACACCCAGATGGTGTGGCTGCAGCCCGAAGAAAGAGAGGAAAGCGCAAAAGAAGGTGCTCGCGAGGAGGCTGAGCCCGCGCTTGAAGTGGTTGTAGAAGACCACGCACTCGCCAGCTTGTGGATGCGGCTCCACCTCCTCTCCGGGCGAGCGCGTGACCACATCCTTCGCTGACGGCAGCCGCCGAGTGTCGCGGAGGTACTGGATATGGGCGTCGGTGACGATGGACCCCTCCCACGAGCCCTTTGGCGGTGCCATCTGTGGGGCTCAGTGAGGGTGCGAAGTTCGGCGGCAAGAAGGAGCTAGCGCGACCGGTGGGCGATTCGGGTGGCGCCTGGCGTTCCGGTCGACGACGAGCTTGAGAGGTTGGGCAGAGAGAAGTAGGACGAGGCGAGGGGTGCATGTGTGAGTATTTCCGCGGCCCCTCCCTCCGATATTATAGCCACGGTCGTACGTGGGGAAGTGGGATCGGCTCCGCCCGCTTTTACACTTCCCCGCATTGTGTGGGCACATTTCCCCCACAAATTAACTACCCCGAGAAGCGCAACCGTCCGTGTTGGCCACAATCAATCCTCGCACGAGGGCCGAGGGCACGACGTGGTGGGCCCTAGCTCGCTGCTACGTCCTGTCGCGCGCGTGGCCTGGCAGGGC